ACCATACCACCTAAGAGTACGGTACGCTCTACTGTCTATCTAGGTGTGTGTAAGTGCACTCCATGTTGCCCGCACAACAGTGAGTCATTATTCAGACCTTCCTCTTCAGGGGGTCTAAGTTCTAAGCAATGGACTATCACAGAATGAATATAATCAATCCCTTCTCCATTTCAAGTGTCTGTAGACAGCACCTGCAATACCTAAATCTCTTCTTCAAGTGAAATATAATCAATATCTTCAAAGATTTCTACGGAAACCAAGACACACGGTTTTGCCAAAAGCAGAGCCAGGCAGCCCGTGTTTGCACTCAGCTTCACCACATACTAGTTGTGTGACCTGAGGCTCTCTGTTCCTCAGTTTTCCTATCTATAAAATGGGAGTAATAAGATGACTGCCTCAAGGGGGTACTATGCGAACATTAGGGGCTATTATTCACACAGACTCTACTCAGCAATACCCTTAGTCAAAGATGACGCTAAGATGTATCCTGCCCAAAGAGTAGTCAGTATTTATTGGGTGATGGAGTGTAGGGCACACGAATGGACTTAATGCTCAAAGCAGTGCTGGCCTGTCATCACCTATACGAAAGCAAGTACTAAGTATTTTTATCCCCCAAGTGTCCTCAAACTACCGCCCGCGGGCCACATGCAGCCCTCCTAGGACATTTATTCGCCCGGTGTTTTTGCCGCCGCTGCCTGTCCTGCTTAGCAACCGACTCGTCCCGGGGCCCGCAGTCCGGCCTTCCAACTGTCTGAGGGACAGTGAACTGGCCCCCTGTTTAAAAAGTTGGAGGACCCCCGATTCTAGACTATTTCTGGGCCCTTCCAGACTTCTACAATTAAATCTTACTCCTGTAAAGAAGCGGTGAGGTTCTTAACAGACCTGTTTTGCAAAAAGAAAAGCCATCTACCGCCTTCACCCAATCTCAAAGAACGACTGCAGCGCCCCTTGTCGTCCGGCCCGGGAGGCTAGAGCGGGCTGGGGGAGGCAGGTTCCGCGAAGCGACCCTGCGGCGCCCCCGACCCTCTCCCCGCTCCGCCGCCGGCGCCGGTACTCACGCGATAGTAGCGGCGTCCGGAGCCTCCGCAGCGTCTGGCGCGGCACACGGGAGTCGGCCCGCTCGGACGGCGCCGGGCCACTAGCCTCACGGTGACTCAGCGATTCGCGGCCGGCAGCCTCCAGGGGGGCGGGAGGCGGGGGCCGGGGCCGGCGGGGCCGCCGGGTCTCCGGGGCTCGGAGCGGAGGCGACACGCCCTGTTTCCCGTCGCCGGCGCCGCCTCGGTCCTCGCTCCGCCCCGAGCGGCTCCCAGGCAGGTCCTGGCCCTGCATCTCTCACAGCCGGGAAGAGAAGGGCGCTGGGGCAACTTTGGGGGCGCGCTGGGATCCAAGGAAGGGGTGCGGCCCAGGTGGGGGCTCTGATCTAGGGTCAGACTCAGACTGAGCCTGGTGGGAAGCTTGTCGTTCACTGGGGTTTACCTTTCACCCGGACCGTGGAGCTTGGCCACATAGATTCAAGTGCTGCCTCCACCTGACCGGAGGCAGGTGGCTCAGCCCCTCCGAGCCTCACGTTGCCCCTCTGTTAACTGGAGGGTGGTGATGATCATACCAACCCTAGACGGTTGCAGTGACTATGACGTGGCCCGTCAAGTGTTTGTTACGTATTCGTGACGTACGTCAGTTGCCCGTTGCCTGCAGTTTGTCAGTTAGACGGGGCGGGCTGGGGGGCATGAGGAATGGGGGGGAGGCCATCTTTGTTCCAGTCTAAAGATGGCAGGCGCTAGTGGGGAAACAGTTGGTTGAGAACTTGTCTGTTGCTGGAATACAGCAGATGGGCCCTGGACAGTTTTCACAGGAGATTGAGGGCTTGGCACAAACCAGTGAGGGGATCTCACTCAGGGCTAGGGTTATGAACAGAGGTGCAGTGAGGGCTGTGGTTTCTGTTCTCTACACACCAGTAGGCCCATATCCTGGCTCTGAGAAAGGGTAGACGAAGGACCCTGGTCTGTGAAGGACCAGGTAGTAAATTGACTTTGCGGGGTACATATGTTCTCCGTGGAGACTGCTCCAGGCTGCCTTTGCAGCGAGGAAGCAGCCCTAGACAAGGAAAAATGGAATCGCCAGGGGAATGGAAGTGTAGATTTTAGGGGAGTTAAGCAAATGTTTTCTTTCACGAAATTGCCCTCCAAAAAAGTATCGCCAATCTTATCAGGAAACACCGCATATCAGTGTATGTTTCATTTGTATTTTTCTTGTGGGTGTACTTGAGCTGATACTCCTCTAAAACTATCAATAAACGGTGTTTTAGTGCACGTCTGTTTTCTGTGTGGCAACGTGTGAGGCCCCTGTTCTTAACCTGGGCAATGGAAGTTGACTCAGGCAGCCTCTGAAAACGCTTGTGGAACCCCAAACAGTGTCCCGGGTTTCTGTAGAGTCTCTTCTGTGGTATTATACATTTCAGAGATAGGCTTTCAAACTCTGGCATTCAGTAAAGAATAAAGAACATGCAAATGCCTACCTCTCACCGATCTAACATTCTTCTCTCGGGAAGCAAAGTGTAGGAGCTTAAATCAGGAGAGCACGGTAGTGCACGGTCCGAAGAAGCTGAGAATTTCCATTTCGTACTGACTGAAAACTTTTTCCTACTATTCAGTCTCTTAAAAATTAAAAGACTCTGATGATCATGGATGTTAGGCTACTTCTACAGTAACTTTACTCAGCAGTACTGGTCTAAGGTTCAACATTTTAGAGCTTCTGGAAGTTTAGTCCTCTTGAGATTGGATTCTGGGTACTATGCCAATCTAGGAGCTTTTACTCTCAGATTTTAACTAAGTCTCAAACCCCCCTGATGTTGTGTTGTATAACCTCCCCTTCTCCTACCCAAGGGGCTGACTCTTCCTGGTCTGGCCTGGTATTGGGGAATGAGAATTTGAGGGCTGTCCTCCCAGTCAGGCAGCTGAACCTTAGGCTTCGGGGGCCTGAGTCCAGGTGACTGTTGGCTCCTGCACTGGCTCCACCTGGAGAAAGGCTCTGCCAGGAACGCTGGGAGCCACAAAGGAGACCCTGCCTCCAGGCCCCATTTCTCCCCAGCTGTGCACTCTTGAGGTTGCTTTGTGCCAGCCAGAGCCACCTACAGGGCCAGTAATGAAAGGCCTGTGCTTTCATCTGGGGAGGCAGAGGACCAAGACGACATTACAGCATGAGTACCTAGAAGTCTGCCAAGGACAGGTGTTCTCTGAAGGTAGTCCTGAGGCTCAGGTAGAGGTCCCTGTGTGAGGGCAAGTGGGAATGGAGACTGTCATAGGCATAGACACCAAGGCATAGTGTAGAATTTGGGGAATTTGGATCCTAAATGATATTGGAGAGTGAGGGCTTTGCATTCTGTCAGCTCATCGTTTCCTTAAAGATCACTCCTGATCCCAGCTACTCAGGAGGCCGAGGTGGGAGAATCACTTGAGGCCAGAAGTTTGAGGCTGCAGTGAGCTATGATCATGCCTGTAAGACACTCCAGCCTGGTGACACAGTGAGCCCCTGTTTCTTGAAAAATAAAAATTAGGGCTAGATGTGGTGGACCTAGGGTCCTAGCACTCTGGGAGGCCAAGGCAGGGGAATCCCTTGGGCTCAGGAGTTCGAGACCAGCCTGAGCAAGAGTCTGCTGAAAATGGCAAGACTAGCTGGGTGTTGTGGTGAGCACCTGTGGCCCCCCGTTACTGGGGGAGGCTGAGGTGGGAGGATCACTTGAGCCCATGAGCTTGAGGTTGCTGTGAGCTAAGCTGAGGCCACTGCACTCCAGCCCACATTCTTCTATAGGCCTCAGAGACCCTGTTTTGAAGAAAAGAAAAGAAGAAAAAACAGAGAGATGTTAGATAAGAGTTTCGAAGAGGTATTTGTGTGTCTGTGTTTATAGCATCCTCAAGAAGCTACTAGCGGAGGCTGCTCTAGAACGAGTAGGAAAGGAAGACATAGGGCTGCTGTCACCACAGCAGGACGTGGTGACAGGAGCCGCAGCAGGCTGAGGCTCTCAGGGGCCCAGGACAGCCAGTCGGTGCAGAGGGGGCAAAAAATAAATAGCAAAGGCGGTGGTATTTCAAGGAAACTTTAATTGTGAATACTGAGATTTGAATTCATGGAATTTGGAATGCATACCATTTTCACTAGTCACAAAATATGCTTTAATGTTTCAAAATTCACACCACTGAAAAATGGAAGAACCATTCTTAGCCGTCAAGCTATACAAAAATAGGTAGTAGGCTACCTACCCTTAGCTACAGACCAAAAAAGAACAGGTTCGTAGAGGAATGAAGACTTTTCCCTGGGCTTTTTATCAGTGGGGCTCACCCCCACCCTCCCCACCTTCCTTCAGTGATTGGAGGCCAACGGATGTAATACCCCTGACCGTTAAAAGTGCCATGGAATAATAAAGTATTATTGCTTATCGTTACACTTACGTCTGCAACTGTCTCCCAGTAAAACAGAAGAAAGGGCTCTCTGTCCAGCACTTCACAGTCTTTAGTAAATGATTCTGCATTCCTTATCAGACAGTTCAATGTTCAGCCAATTGCTTGAGCCTGAAATGTGAGCTCTTCTCTCTCACTCCTGTACCTTGAAAGCCTGTGGATTTTCACCCCTAATCTCTTAAATCCATCCCATCCTCCCCATTTTGACTACTGCTGTCCATCCTCTCCAGTAGCCACCCCATTCTTCCTGCCTTCAGGCTTGCCACTGGCCAATCCATTCTCCATGTCACAGGCAAATGTAGTAACACTTGCTTAAAATCCTTAATGGCTTCTCAAGAAAGTCCTGGGATAGCCTCGGCTTGGCTTCACCCTCAACAGGCTTCCTCGAGGACACACACCCAGGCATACTCCTAGGCTGGACTTGTTTTAGTCTCTCTAATGTACAGGCTCCCTCTTGTTGGCTTGCTGTGCCCCTGTCTGGAACTTTCTTTCCCTCTCCTTGATCTGGTCTATCCCCATTTGTCTCGCAGCTCTCAGTTTACAGGTCCCTTCTTCTGGGAAACCTCCAATGCCTGTCCCCTCGCAAGTCTGGCTGAGATGCTTGACACAGCAATCTTCACACCTCCACATTGCCTGCCAGAGCCATTGTCTATCACCCTTTGGAAGAGTCTCCCTTCCTCAGACGGTTTGAACCGTATCTCCCATTGCACCTGCTTTGTTTTCTGCAATGTGACTTTGACAACCCTTCCCCCCAAATGAAGTCTATTTCTCTTCGTCCTGAGTATAGGCAGAGCTGTGGCTGCTCTGACCAGGCAATACAATGGAAGTGACATTGTGCCAGTTCTGGGCATGGCTCTGGAATGGCCTGGCAGCTTCTGCTTCCTGCCTTCTGGAAGCCAGCTGCCCTGTAAGAAGAGTGAAAATCCTGAGATCATGGCGCTCACTCTGGGAGAAGCCCATGACACATGACAGAGAGGCCCTGGAAGAGGACATGTCACAAAAGATGGAGAGATGGAGGCCAGGGACACTGAGGCACCAGACATAACAACGCTGTCTTGAAGGAGGACTCTCCAGCCCCGCCAAGCTACCCCAGCTGATGCCACATGGATAAGGCATAAACACCCAAACTTGTCCCTCCCAACTTCCTGACCCACAGAACTGGGAGCAAATAAAAATGATTGTTTTAAGCTACTCAGTTTTCAGGTAGTTTGTTTCCTGATAATAGATAATGGGGCGGGGGGGGGGGCCTTTATGCAACAGGAGAGAAGAGGTAGACTTTCAAAGTTCTCCAGGCTAAGGAGAAATTCTTACAAATATTTATCCTTTCAGAAAGTGACCGTGTCCATTTAAATTGCAACCCAGGCAACCAGCCACCAAGCAAGATAAACAATGATGAAGGTAGACTTTAGAGGTGAAATGTTACATCCCACAGGCCGTAGCAGTAACCCCCGGAGTGCAGGTGACAACTTCACAATAAAAGAAAAGAGGAGAGAATGGCTTAGCTGTACATTGGTACTCATCTCTATATTGGGTTCTCAATAGTCTTGGCGATGTTTCAGTTTAACACCTTTTCAGAGAGTTCCCTCTGGGACTCAGAATCCCCTCCCTCTCTGCAGGCATGGTAGGAGTGAGGGCTTCCCCTCCCAGGTAGAAGGGAAGTCCAGGGATGTTCATGGTC